CCACAGGCAGAGGATTAGCCTAGTGATCCGCAGGCACCGGCCTCAGTGCACATTTTTAAATAATTCAGTTTTCTCTGAGAATTAGTCCTCTACATTGTCTTCATGGTGTTACTATATTTTAACCAGCACATGAACACCTATTCTTCAATCATTATTTTTTCTTGTATCTCATTCATTTGTTTTCAATTTTCTTCCAGTAGAAAATCCTTTTGTTGTTTTGCAATGAAGTTCTGGTAGTTGTAACGCTGAGGTTTTACTAACTTGTAATGAGCTTTATTTAGTTCCTATTTGCATGTAGTAGTGTAACAGAATATAACGTTTTAATGGTGAAAATTATTTACTATCAGTATCTTGAAGACATTTTTCACTGCATTCTGCCTTTTAATATTGAGAAGCTGGCTTTACTTTTCAAAGTAGTTCCTTCCAGGTAATCACGTCCAAGATTTTCCCTTGAACTGTGTGTTGAACAATTTCCGGCCTGTGTGTCTATGTGTGATTTTATTTTCTTTAGATATTTATTATATTTCCTGAATGTGAAGATCTTCCAAAAATCCAGAAGTATTTTAGGCATTTATATTTAACATTTGATTCAGCTCCATTTTCTAATTGGATAACTCAAATTCTATTGTACATTTCTCTTAAAGTTTCCCTTTTTAAAATCTATTTGCCTCCCATCCTTTGCTGTTTTCTGTATGATTCTTATGCTGTTCCAGTTTGTACATTTTATCATCAGCTGTATATAATATGAATTAAAATTTTTTTATTTACTTGAAAGAGCTACAGAGAGAAAGGGAGAAAAAGAGGGAAAGAGAGAGCAAGTGACATCTTCCATCCACTGGTTCCCTCCCCAGATGGCCACACTGGCCAAGGCTGAGCCAGGCCAAAAGCAGGAGCCATGGGCTTTGTTCAGGTCTCCCACATGGACAGCAGGGCCCCAAGCACTTGGGCCATCTTCAGCTGCTTTTACCAGGCCATTACCAGGGAGCTGGATCGGAAGTGGAGCAGCCAGGAAATGAACCAGCAGCTGTATGGGATGTCAGCATTGCAGGCAGCAGCTTTACCCCCTACACCACAATGCCAGCCCCTGTAACCTGGCTTTCAAAAATTAAAAAAAAAAATACACTGCAATATATAAAAACTATTTATATATTTTACTTGAGAGAGAGAGAGAGATCTATCATTTGCTGGTTCACTCCCCAAATACCTGTAATGGCTAGGGCTCGGGCTAAACCCAGGCTAAGAAACTCAATCTACATGGATGGCCAGGAGCCAACTACTTGAGAGTGCTGGAATCAGATGTGGAGCTGGGGCTCAAATACTCAGATACGGGGTGCAGCTGTCTCAGCTGGGGTCTTAAGTTGCTCTGTCAGACACCCATCACTGGTCTTACTCTTTCATTTCATTAACTGTATGTTTTTTTTTTCATTTCTCCAAGGTCAATTTATTTTTTGAAGTCTACTCATGATTTTGATAGTGCCTATAACTTCCACGTAGTTTCTCTATTTGCCCATTCTAATGTGCTTTCTTTTCACCCTACACGCTAACTCCAGTGCCCGACGTTCTTAGAGTCGACACTCATAACCGCTTATTTCGGAGTATCTTACTTGTTCTTGTGGAACTGTACGCTGTGAAGTGCCCATGAGTCTGACACGTTGCCCTGTGGCAGGTCTGTGCCTCCAGAGCACACACTCATGTACGTGTGTGCACATGCACACACACACACACTTCAAAAAGTTCATAGAAAATGGAACTGAGATAGTTGATTTTGATGCAGAAGTGTTTGAAACCCATGCCAGGTTTTTGTTTTCATAATATGAGTTTTCTGTGATCTGTCTGTCTCCCCCACCCTCACCTCCACATCATATACATTTCTGGAACAAGTTGGCATCACAGGAATTTACTAACATTTGAAAGTTACTTGTTGACTTAGGTAGGAGGCAAACAGTGAGACACTTCACTGTCTTGCAATCATACTACAATTGGAAAAATCTCCTTTCTACCTCTTCAGTCAGCATTATTTGGAAAGAATGGGTTCTAAGTGTTTTAATGTTTGTTATAATAACTCCAGTTTATCAAGAACTACTGGTACTGGTGCTTTTGTGAATTGTATTGTTTACAAATAGCCCCCATGTGCATACCGAAAATCTGTACTTACCTTAAAAGTTGAAAATACAAGAGATTAATGCGAAAAACTTTTATAAGACAACTGAATATTTTAAGTGCACAAATGCACCTTTTGCTAACTTAGTCTCAAAATACAAGCTATGCTGTTTAGAAAAGCGTTCACAAAACATAAGTAAAATAGACACGTATGTTTGGTTATTTTAAGTTTGACTTCGGGAGATGATGATTTCATTTTATTTAATGATTTATTTATTTATTTGAAAGTCAGATTTACACAGAGAGAGAAGGAGAGGCCGGGGGTGGGGGGGTCTTCCATCCGCTGGTTCACTCCCCAGTTGGCTGCAATGGCCAGAGTTGTGCCAATCCGAAGCCAGGAGCTTCTTCCGGGTCTCCCACGTGGGTGCAGGGGCCCAAGGACTTGGGCCATCTTTTACTGCTTTCCCAGGCCGTAGCAGAGAGATGGATTGGAAGTGGAACAGCTGGGACCTGAACCGGTGCCCATATGGGATGCCAGAACTGCAGGCCAGGGCTTTAACCTGCTGCGCCACAGTGCCAGCCCCGGGGGGATTATTTTTAATTAATGTTTGTCTAACTAGAATTTAAGCTTTGTGAAAGCACAGAATATTTTTTTTCTTTCTTTCTTTACCTTTAATTTGTGATACATATTACAGTGCTTGTCATATGTAGGCATTAAATGTTTGTTTAATGAGTAAGTAAATAGGATAAATGAATAAAGTATGTGGTTGTAATATATCTTTTGGTTTGAAAATGACAGATGTTATTATAAGGAACCACTTAATCCCAGGGAATTCCCACACCACTAATAGACATACATGGTCTACAAAGGATTTTGACAAATTTATTGGATCTCTGTGGAAAGTTTTCCTGCAGTGTGCTTTAAGAAATATCCACTAAATATTGCCTTATGATATGGTTCCATATTTAAGTTTTAATATCTATAATCCCTGCTGCTTTACTTTTCCTTTCTGGAAAATCTGTTTAAATAATCTCAATGGTATTTCTTGAAATAAACCCCCTATGTATCTCACTCTACCATCACTGTTTTATCACTGCCCGCTATCACTTTTGAGAGACAATAATTCTAACATAAAATAGCATGAGGGAATATATGCTTTTAAATTTTGTTTGAAAGTTGTTATTTTTAACCAAATTTGTACAAGTGTTCTTCTAAAAAATCTTAGAGCATTCACAGATAAGAAATTTTCCATTTCTGGTCTTTGATTGATTGTAGAATTAAAGGATTCATAGGACCATCCTATGTTATCCAATAAAACACCACTGAGCCTGTTTTTCAAGCATTTGTACATGGAAGCATTGAGCACATGTTTAAATGGGAGAATTATTTTGCAGAACTTCCATTACTATTTTTGTGTAAGATGCAAGTTTGCTCTGAAAATTTGATAGTTGGGGAAAATTCATGGAACTGGGTGATGTCAGAGGGACTGGTGAAATGTTTAGTTTGGTTTCCTATAGAAATAACCAGAATAACACAATTCCATTACTTACTGAGACAGCTATGCTCTAGGAGGAATGGTGAACTGATTCCTGCTTCCAGGGCCTTCTAACTACAGGCATGCCTCAAGCAACATGCGTTTCTTAGGGCTTCTCTTTTTGATTGTTTTTTTTTTGTGTGTGTGTGTGTGTTTTTTTTTTTTTAATCCAGATACATTTCCATCTAGTCTTTTAAAATTAGAAATTGATATCCTATTGTACTCATTTTTTATTTAAGATAGTGCATGAGACAGGTTATATGTAGTGAGATGTGTTTGGGCCTTAATAATAGCTCTGGAATCATGTTTCATTGGTCCCTGCAGTGGGGTGTCATGGTTGCAACTGGAATCCCATGGTCAGGTTCAATGCACCAGCCTGAGTGAAAGGTAGGCAGGTTGAAACCTGCACGGTGAAAACAGCAGACATCAGAACAAAGTTGGGAAACTAATTCCACTACAATAAACTGCATCAAAGCTAGAAACCCATCACTTCCTTCCTGAACATTGTAATGACAAAGTGTGTACATTTTCTAACAAGGACACTAACAGCTAAATATTCATTGGCAGTCATTTCCTACACATTGAAGCATAAAGAGCTTCAGTTCATCCACAGACCCCGTGTTTTCCTGGTAAGTTCATGGTACATGTTTGTTGCTGTAGAACGAGAAAGCAATGCTGCCATTGAAACTACAGTCCTTGGGAAGCAATTATTTCTCCTATTAATCTCCCGTTGCAGACTTTAAAATGGTATCAAAGATTTTCCAAAAAGCAAGTCTCATTCCCATTTTCACTAAAAAGTTTCTAAACATTTTGAGAATAGTTAAAGTAAATGTTATTTTTAATGTCACAAATGGTGATAGTTCTGTTTAACCTAATTGCATGCTTCTTGGTTAAAAAATAATAATGATTGTTAACCTTATGAAGAACAAAAAGAGTTGTTAGATGTTTTTAGGGATTTTCTACATGAGAACAAGAACAAAATTTGGTATTTGAAGTTTACCCTGTAAAAAATACAGAGTAGTAGAAACCAACAAAAAGAGACTAAGGCATTTCAATACAATTTAACAGAATTTGAGCCGGATACTACGACATATTAAAATTAGTCCCAGAGGGCAAAACTCCAGCCAATAGAGGTATGAAATATTTGCAGACTTTGGAAATATAATGACTGCTTTCCCCCCATTTCTTTAAAACACTCCATTGTGCAGTCATAAAATGATAAACTCCTTAATAACGTAGATTTATTTTCAAAATGGACTTTTAAAAATAATATAATAGTGAGAACAGTTTTTCCCTGTGTATTATCAGTGAGGAGTCTAAGAGTTAGGAACTTTGGCGAAGACAAAGCACAGCCATATACTGATGTAGGGGTTGAAAATAACTTACAAAATTAATTTAATAAAATGCCTAGAACAGTAACTAACAATTATTAACAAAACCATAACAAAGCCATTTGTATTAACACATTTAAGGAAAACGTTGAATTAATATAAAAATAATACACAATAAACTGATATCTGACATAAGATACAATAAAAATGAATGTTCACGTCAAAGAACTAAATTTGTGAGAGCGTCTCTATGTGTCTTCTAAATATTTTCTTTAATTTTCCTGGGTGTGTGGAGCACAGCTCACTGTAGCCTAACAGCTTATCAACTGGACTAGCAGAACACTTTCCCAAAACAGAACAGCGCGTTTCCCTTACCATGCCAGGGAAAATAACTTAACACATTTATCCTAACAAAAGACCCATACTAACTCCAAACTAGAATTTGTTTCTTTAGTCTCTAGTGCTACTTCTGGTTCTTAAAGATAACTACATTTGAAATTCTAATTCTCATGCTGTCCCTGAAAGGAACGATATTTTTATCCTGAAGGTTTTTACTGTAATTCATCCCTAAAATTTACTTTATGTGGAAAAGTTTTATCTTAAAAAAAAACCCACAATTTATATATGTCAAGATTGATTCCACTACATTTTCTAGAACAAACACAGACTTTGATATCAAACAAGCCGGGTTTCAAAATTTAGCATTACACTGTGACCCTGGGGAGGCTACCTACCTTCACTAAGCCTCAGTCCTGAACTACAAAGTGAGAACATTGCCACAGCCCCAAAGGGTAGCATGGCGTTCACAAAGAACTAATGCGTATGCCTACCACAGGGCTAAGAGAAGTGTGTATCCCTAAAAGTGTTAAGGTATTCTTCTCCTCTCTTCCCCATTCCTGGCATATTTTTGGCTAATCGGAGATTAGAGGAAAAAAATATGGAAGAAGTCACTGGAATAAATCAGCTCCACTAAGAGGCTCATCTACATTGCAGGCAATAGTTCTACACTTGGAAGTAACTTTCAATAAAATCAAAACACTGGTTTTAAAAAATGTATTTACATTTTACAATTTGTAAGGAAGAAAAGATTTTTCAGGGCAACAAAGAGAGAAAAACAAATAAGCTACATCTATGTGTATAGTTTAATTTTGTAAAAATGAAGAAATAATTCTATACCCAATTTTATTAAAATTGGTATATGTTGAGTGTTCATGGACAGGTAATAGAAACAAAGCTGCTTCATAAATAGCGATTTCCATCAACATCAAAAATATCAAAATAGAGTTTTTCTAAAGGAAAAGCCTTTCTTTAATGGGACTGATAAGAATTAGAAGTTCCCATTATTTGTCCATGAAACCTAAGAAAGGTGCTATTTCATACAGGATTCTAGTAGAACTTGGCACATACATTTAACTTTTCAACTACTCATTATTTTCATTTTTTGGTAGCTTCACTCACTCAGACAATCTCACATATACATAAATATTAAAAGCACGCATAGCTTTAAAGCAGAAAATTCATTCTAAAATTACATTTTCTACAGTAAAAGCAAGTCACCATATTTATATCCAATGTGTTTCGGTCACAGAAGCGGATCTTTCTCAGAGAGCTACTGAAGAATGTGTATGGTTATGTTCAACATTTCAAAAAGACTTCTCTCTAGGAGGATCCGTTCAATCATGTGCAAGAATTCTAAGGCATTATAAGTAGTTGTTCCACAGGACAAGGGCTGCCCTGGCAATGATGCACTCTTGATAAAATTAGCAAGTCTTCCGTCTTCAGATGCCAACAGCCAGACACAGGGACGCACTCCCAGTCTACAGGTGGTTGGCTCAAAGGTCAAAAACTTGTTTAAAAAATATTTCTTGGAATAGCACCATAGGAAGTCTTTCAGCAACAAATCCTTTTTTTTTTTTTTTTACAACATTGCATCTTTTTTTTTTTTTTAACTGAATGCCAGAAGAGGAAAAGAAACAGTGAGAGATCCTTCAGTTCTCTTAAGGCCTATGTCCTCGTCCTTGCTTCATTTCATTTTGTTTATATACACTAACCGTAACATCGTGAACCAATAATAACTACAATAAGAAGACTAATAACAAGAAAAGGACAATAGCAGCAGTAATAACTTGAGTATGAACCATCCAGCACACCGCGTGGGGGTTTTGTTGTAAGGTTCGTAAGACATTACAGGCTTCTTGGATTTGGTGTGAAAAGGCAACACTTCCGTAGAAAGAACTGAAGTAACAATTAGCTGTCCATCTCCAGCACTTGAACAAATAATGGCAAGAGTTTAACTGCAACAACAGACACTACAGGTTTTTCAAATTTGTCCGAATGTAAGTACAATGAAGTGGTTTCAAGATCATTTGTGTTTCAAAGAGGTTAAGTTGGCCTGCAAATGAAAATTATGAAGCTGAAGTATTCCAGTTTCCAAACATCACAGAATACACACACACACACGCACACACATACACACACAAGTGTACACACACAAATACACACCACCCTTCAAAGACTCCCATCTCACATCACCTTAGACGGATCTGGTTTATATGGTATCCGAGATACAAAGTCAAAGCAATTATCCCAAGACACAAGAAGGGGGGTTTCCAGTTTATGACCAGCGAGGCCACTTTGTGCCCCCCAAATCTTGAGCGCAGGTCAGAGAGAGCACTCCGCAGGGTCACAGCCCCTGGATGAGCTGTCTGACTTGTGGGGCGCCTGTTTCAAGCTTCAGTCTTCCTCGAAGCCTGGGAGGTCCTCTCGCCAGCTTTGTCAACACCATCGAGCATGGAGTTCAAACACCCTTGCACGGCTGATTCGCGTTGATGGGAACTTCTCTTTGAATAAAGAGAGGATCCTGGTCTTAAAAGTTTTCCATTGTTGAAACTCATTATATAAAACATTTGTGCTAATATCTTCAGTTTTTTAACAAAGAAAAAAATACGTTTTCTCTGCATTCTGCACATCCCTTTAAGTTCGGACAGAAGTTTCTGCTGTTAATTTTTGGTATGAGAGGTTTCTGGATAGCGGATGCTTTTGTATCTTACATGAAATCCCTTCTTGTTGATGGTGTCATCGGTGTGAAAATGAATTAAAACTGTATCCCCAATTGAGTAGATCTCTTCTGGTGGCTGGGAGAAAAAAACAAAACAACAGGCAAATAAACAAACAATAGAATGAGTTACTTTTTCAGCAGTGCAGGGCACGTCTGAAGATCTATGTTTGTTATGAGTGAATCCTCCTGGCGACCTTGCAAAGTAGATATGATGGATGTCTCACAGGTGGGACAACACAAAAATGAGAAGACACTGGGTGCCAGGCTTCCCTGGGCCGTCAGTGTCAGTGCTGCCCCAGGAGCATACATTCAATACACTCATCTGTTCCCAGGAGCTGTGCATTCTCCTCTCCAGAACCAGACGCCTTCTCTCAAACCCTGGAGCCAGTTGGTCTGCTTTACAAATAAGCACAGCGAGGCCCAGGGCTATGCAGAGCCACTGCATTTGTTTGGCAGCTGCCCTGAGCTACAGCCTCCTCCAGAATCGCTATCAGCCCTCACTTCTGGTTGTAATTTTCTCAATACCAAGAAGCTTTTGTTTCATTCCAGTTGCTATCTGGCCAGGGGTTCAACAGTTTGGTTTAAGCACTAGATAACAAGAGCCAATCAAACATTTGGGAATGAAGTGTGCATACAGAAAAGTACTCTGGGGCCCGCGCCATGGCATACTAGGCAAAGCCTCTGCCTGTGGCCCCAGCATCCCATATGGGTGCCAGTTTGTGTCCCTGCTGCTCCTCTTCCAGCTCTCTGCTGTGGCCTGGGAAAGCAGTGGAAGATGGCCCAAGTGCTTGGGCCTCTGCACCTGCATGGGAGACCCAGAGAAAGCTCCTGGCTCCTGGTTTCTGATCAGCCCAGCTCTGGCCATTGTGGCTGTTTGGGCAGTGAACCAACGGATGGAAGACCTCTCTCTGTGTCTGTAACTCTGCCTCTCAAATAAATAACAAAATCATTTTAAAAATGCTACTCTATATTAACACAAGGAGTCCAAGAGAACTGGCCCTGAGGAAACCTTCAGGGTTTCTTTTTCTTGCCCTCTGGATGACGGCCTCTGGTCCACGTGGGGCACCCTGTATGTGCATGGTGGCCCCTGGGTGACAGGAGGTGACAGGACAGTGCTCCTTAAGCACTGGCTGAGCCCACACACCAATGGCTGACCTGGCCATGCCCACTGAATATGAGGGGTCTTTAAAAATTCCCACAAAATACATATTATGAACAAACTATGGATGGATTTGAAATTTTTTCTGCAAAAATAAACTTAGAATTTTATTCCAGTTCCCATGAAGTTTTTGAAATTACCTCATATATTGTTTTAAAGATTTATTTATTTGAAAGGCAGTGTGACAGAGAGGGAAGGAGAGGGAGAGAGTATACATATGTGTGAGAAAGAGAGATCTCCTATCTGTTGGTTCTCGCCCCAAATGGCAGCAATGGCTAGAGCTGGGCCAGGTCAAAGGCAGGAGCCAGGAACGCCATCCTTGTGAGTGCTTGGGCCATCCTCCACTGCTTTCCCAGGCACATCAGCAGGGAGCTGGATCAGAAGCAGAGCAGTCAGGACCCAAAGCAGTGGGATATGGGATGCCGGCATTATGAGCAGCAGCTGAACTCACTGTGGCACGTTGCCAGCACCGAATACTTGCTTAGATTGGTGTGGGTATTCTTTTCTTTTATGCTTAATTTAGAAGAAGGGGAAATTGACAAAGGTATATGTTTCAGTAAACTATTCTTAGACTCTTAAGTATTTAAATGTATATTGCACAATAAAAAGAGCATAAAAGGCAGTAAGAAACCCCCATCATTGAATTCCTCTCTTATCTGATATCATCAGGCAGATACATAAGAAGTGGGGAAGTGGAAGGGTGGAAGAGCCACACTACACTTTGTCAAGCCGTTACTACAAGGAGTCTTCAAAAAGTTTGCAGAAAATGTGTATTATGGAAAAATAAAAAGCATTGCAGAATTTTTTTTTTAAAGTTGTACCAAAATATTTTAAAAATTCCATTCTTCCACAAAGCTTTTGAAGGGCGTTCATCATATAAAGCTGCTATTGGTCAAGGTCATTGCTGATCAGTTACTGTCACACATGTGACTCGATCGGCACTGTTTCGGTCAGTGAGGATGTGTTTACCCCAGAGCCGCAGAAGCGACCCAGCCCCACGGCTGCGGGCTCCAGGCCGTCAAAGAGCTCCACGTAGTCGTAGCCGCAGTCTGCTTCTTCCTCCACTTCAAACGTCTGGAAGGACAACTCCAGTCGAGAGCCTCGTTCCGCAACTAACAGCCATTCGCAGTCCACCTGCCCCGGGTAGTTGTTGTCACCAAACTGCGCGTGCGAGTACAGATCTCTGGGCTTTGGCTCAGCCCTCAGTCGGCCGCCACACTCTGTCAGGAAAGAGAAATGGAAAGGATGAGCTCCACGACCCTGCACGGGTCCAGTGTCCAGGTCAGCAAAGCCCGACCGTTCTCTGACATCTGTCCCCGCTTCCCACACCAGACAAACGCTTGTCGCATCTGGAGAATCTAGGATGTCGTGTGATGGGCACAGGTCCCCACACCTTCTGTCCTGGCTGGAATTTCAGCTCCCATATCTTCCAGCCCTGCAACTCCAGGGGAGCCAGGTCACTCCTCTCCTCAGTGCAGGGTACAAATGCAGGTGACAGTACATGGCATCGACATTAGAAGTGTGGAGAATTTAACACAGAGAAGCCTCTGTCATAGCCTCTGTCATAGAGTACCTGCTCTCAGTAAATATTCTTACTGTTATACCGAGTACTGTTTCAGTCTCAGCTGTGAGAGTACTTCAAAGTGCTCATGGAAAATGCATCAGGAGATAAGTTGATTTTGGTGCAAATAATTCTGAGAACATACATGAGAGCTCATTAAGAAGTTTAGAAAAGTACACAGAATCAAAAACTATGTGTGGATTTCATTTTTTTTTTGCAACAAGATAAATTTATTTTTAGATTCATATTCCATGAGTTTTGGTGTACCCTCATATTTTCACAGAGAAAAATGCCAGGGTCATAAGTTTTATATTTGTTAAGAACATGGAATCAAAATGAAAAAGAAATAATGATTAACAAAGGATAACCTTGTGTGTGTGTGTGTGTGTGTGTGTTACACAGAGCTTTCCACAGGGACTATACAGAACAGTATTGTTTTGCTGAGGTAGATATATTTACCTAAATATATTGGGAGAAACACGCACATTATTAATTATAATTACTTTGTCCCTCCCGACCTCTTCAGGTAGTTTACTGCTTATTATAAGGAAAAAAAAGTAAATGCTATTTATATAGCATCTGCTTTAGAGAGACACTAATAAGCCTATGGTCTTTGTCACCCCAAAGAAATATCTAAGTGTGCATGAAAAGATCCAACACCTAGCATGATGTGGAGGATACATTCTCAGGAATTCTTTGGAGGCAGCATCACAGAGACCATATAAAGGCAGAGACATCCATGTGACCCCGCAACACACACAAACGCGAGGAAAGTGAGGTCAAGGGCAGGAAAGGAAAAACCCCAGGCTGACACAGGGAGTCCTTCAGGCCCCTGTGTTCCAGTCTACACCTCAGTCTCAGTCACAGGTTGGCGGATGAAGGGCAGAGGCTTGATCTAAGGTGGACACCGGAGTGGTGGGCCTTCTGGGAGGTAAGGAAGTCACTGGGGCCTCTCTCCCTGCTTCCTGGCTCTGCACCTGTCCCACCACTGCCTCCAAACTGGAAACAGAACAAAAACCGCTCCTTTGCAGGAAGTGCCCTCAGGTATTTTGGTTAAAGCAACAGAGAGCTGACTAACTCAGCTTTTTCATCTCTAAAATGGGTCTATACCTGGGACCTGTGTCCAGGGGTCTTGATGACATGCTGTTGGGGTTCTATATGGAAAATGCTTGGAAGGTGTTTGACTCCTGGTAAAAGCCACTCAAGTTTAACCTTTGCTATTGCTTTGTTGTTGTTCCTCTGAGAAATGCCAATATCTGTACTTTATGATCCACTCAGATATGAAATGAAAAGTAAAAAACAATTGAACATCTATTAAACACACTTAGTCAACTACTAGAAAGAAGAAATTATATTCTAGAAAGAAAGGGATATTTTGTGAAAAATATTTCTAAAATCAAGACAGACATATGGAAACCATCGTAACCTTTCCAGACACTTAAAACTTCTACTTATTCTCCAAGTTCGATATAAATTGACAGACTTAGGAGCTGGCATTGTGGTGTAGCGGGTAAAGCTTCCTGTGACACTGGCATCCCGCGTGAGTGCCGGTTCGTGTCCCAGCTGCTCCACTTCCAATCCAGCTCCCTGCTGAAGGCCTGGAAAATCAGCGGAGGACTATGGCCCAAGTGTTTGGGCCTCTGCCACTTATTCAGGTGGGAGACCCAGATGAAGTTCCTGGCTCCTGGCTTTGGCCTGGCCTGTTGTGGCCATCTGGGGAAGTAAACCAGCAGATGGAAGATTCTCTGTTTCTCTCTGTGTAAGTCTGACTTTCAAATAAACACACATTTTTTTTGAATGACAGCCATTTTATTTTCTGTTTTTTTTTTTTTTTAATTTTTGTTAATTTTTTATTTTTGACAGGCAGAGTGGACAGTGAGAGAGAGAGAGAGACAGAGAGAAAGGTCTTCCTTTGCCGCTGGTTCACCCTCCAATGTCCGCTGCGGTCGGCGCACCGCGTTGATCTGATGGCAGGAGCCAGGTGCTTCTCCTGGTCTCCCATGGGGTGCAGGGCCCAAGCACCTGGGCCATCCTCCACTGCACTCCCGGGCCACAGCAGAGAGCTGGCCTGGAAGAGGGGCAACCGGGACAGAATCCGGCGCCCCGACCGGGACTAGAACCCGGTGTGCCAGCGCTGCAAGGCGGAGGATTAGCCTAGTGAGCCGCGGCACCAGCCCTATTTTCATGTTTTAAAAAGTGACTGCTTTTTCCTCCCAGCCTGGGGAGCACTGAGGTGACAGAGAGCCTTGTTTTGTGTGTCTGCTTCCCACGAAAAAGGCAGCAGAGGCAAAGACAACAGCAGAATCCACAAGGGTGGCCCCCGGCCAAGCCCAGCTTGGAAAACGATCAAGGAGGAAGTGAAACAGTGGAACAAAACAGGAAAAGAGATTTTGCGGAAAATGGCTTTATGTATCTGAAAAATCACAGAAAAGTGCTATTGCTTCATTTTACTGGAAAATTTTAGAAAAATGTCTCTTGCATTTAAAAGTAAAATAGTAAGGGGCCAGAGCTGTGGCACAGTGGGAAAAGCCACAATCTGTGTTACCAGTATCCCATATGGGTGCCAGTTTGATTCCCGGCTGCTCCACTTCTGATCCAGCTTCCTGCTAATGTGCCTGGGAAAGCAGTAGAAGATGGCTCAAGTGCTTGTGTCCCTGCATCCAATGGGAGACCTGGAAGAAGCTCCTGGACCCTGGCTTCAGACCAACCCAGCTCTGGCCACTGTGGCTGTTTAGGGAGTGAACCAGTGGATGGAAGAACTCTCTCTCTCTCTCTCTCTCTCTCTCTCTAACTCTTCCTTTCAAATAAATAATAAAAATAACTCTTTAAAAAAACAAAAATTATGTTTAAGGATCACTTAAAAGGTTGCAGAGAAGTTTTTCCTGGTGTGCATTTATCTGTCTCGGCACACACTCATTCTACATATCCCTCCTCAAATTACTACTCTGGGATGAATATGCTCACCACAAAAATAAACAAACAAAGAACATTTTTTCCGCAGGATAGATTTTTAAGGATGAATATTAGAACATTAAATGCACAAGAGGTGTGGTTTTCAGATGCCTGGAGAGAGATTCCAAAGCGGAAAGGAACAGGTGGATGACAGTAATTCCTTGCTTATGACTGTTTCAGATTCCCATGGCAACTCAAACCATGGTCAGCACACCCTTTAATAAGTCACTTTAAAACCTGGCTTTTAGACAGACTCAACACACTTTCAGCCAACATCCCTAGCTATTTCCAGTGTCTCAAAAACAGAAAACCAAGTACTTCTTTACATCAGTTTTTTCAAAGTGCTTTATAGAGGCCAGCACTGTGGTGCAACAGGCTAAGCCAGTTCAAGTCCCAGCTGTTCTACTTCTGTTCCAGCTCCTTGCTAACTGGTTTAGATAAAAAAAAAAAAAAAAAAAAAAAAAAAAAAAACCTTCCTTTCTACAAAGCTTGATAACATATTACTTGATTTCTCAATGTCATTGACAAACAGCACCGGGCTTTATACTAGAGAGGAGTCCCAGCACACAGCACCATGTTCTAAAAGCCATTTTCATTCCCTCGTCCATATCCTCTTCCCATCCTCCAAGAGAAGACATGGAAGTTTTTTAAACCAAAAAATTGGTTTCTTTCAATTAATTTAGTTAAGCCTGGAGAAATACCATTTGTTAACTGGTTAAAATAAATTTGGACTTAGAATTTGGACCAAGGTTCAGAGCAAAATAGGGCTCCAATCAAAAAATTCATGGCCCCAAAACTTAGTATGAAGTGTGAAAAGTAGCCATAAAAATCTAGTAAGCAATATTCCTTATCACCTCATTAAGAGTTAATAGTGTGAGGTCCTTATGAATAAAAAAAATAAAATTAAAATTCTATACAGAAATACAAATTCACTTAAGCAAATTCAAATGAACACTTCAGGGTCCATCAAAAATAGTCTGACATATTCTAGAAGGCCGTAAATGATGACATGCTTTGTTCATGTAGAAAAAGTAGATTGATACGGTATAGGACTTGGCTATCTTTCTGTTGAATCTGAAGAAATAAAATGAAAACCAAAATAAGACTGGGTAAGCTGTCAGCACGTAGGAATTCCTTCTACTGTTCCAAGATTCCCACAACTTTCTTTTTTCTGTAAGTCACTAATATTTTAGTCTAGCTAAAGAGAAACCAGATGAATAATTGATGAGACGCTGTAGAACAAATGAGTTTGACAAAGAGAATCTTTGAGGAGAAATAAATATCAGGCAATAGATAAGAGTATTTCAGCATTTATGGTGACTAGAAAATACGATAAACTAAATCTACTCAGTGGGTAGGTTTGTGGCTCAGCAGGTTAAGCCTCCACTTGTGATGCAGGCAGTCCTTACTGGAGTGCTGGTTTGAGTCCCAACTCCTCCTCTTCTGATTCAACTTCCTGCCAATGTGCCTGCGGTACAGCAGATGATGGATCAAATACTTGGGTTCTTGCCACCCACACGGGAGACCCAGGTGGAGTTTTTGGCTTCAGATTTTAATCTGGCCCAGCCCTGTCTGGTTGTGGCCATTTGGGAAGTGAACCAGCGAATGCAAGATTCTCTCTCTCTTTCTCTCTTCTCTCTCTCTTCCCACTCTCTGCCACTATGCCTTTCAATTAAATATTTTAAAACAACAACAACAACAAAATAAATCTACATAGAAAATTCCAAGAGAGCTGAATAAGCAAGAACAGAACTTTGTACAAAATGAAAAAGTTGAATGCATAATGTCAAACATTTTTGAAGATAGTAAATTAACAAGAGTTGGGAAATCATGACCTAATTCAAGCAGTTAGTAACTTTTTCTTTTTGTACCACTTCAGTTACCACTTATGTGTTTTTTGTTTTGTTTTTTTTTGTTTGTTTTGTTTGTTTTTTTGTTTTGCCAGTCAGAGTTAGACAGTGAGGGAGAGAGAGACAGAGAGAAAGGTCTTCCTTTCGTTGGTTCACCCCCCCAAATGGCCGCCATGGCCGGCTCTGCGCCGATTCAAAGCCAGGAGCCAGGTGCTTCCTCCTCGTCCCCCATGTGGGTGCAGGGCCCAAGCACTTGGGCCACCCTCCACTGCACACCCGGGCCACAGCAGAGAGGTGGATTGGAAAAGGAGCAACCAGGACAGAATCTGGCGCCCCAACCGGGACTAGAACCCGGGGTGCCAGCGCCGCAGGCGGAGGATTAGCCTAGTGAGCCGCGGTGCCGGCTTACCATTTATGTTTTTACCTTCAACTTCCTCATTTCCAAAATAACAGGGCTGGATTATTAAATATCCAAGGACCATTCTGTCTAGGAGAAAGTGATTGGGTTTGCTCATGTAGGTGTATGAATGGATGTGAACTGAACGGGGCAATGAAATTAGCCTCATGATCTACAAATCGGAACATACAATTTGCTTAAAACTTATATTAGGAAGTACTCCGTCTTTATTACTCCAAATAATTTGAGTTTTGTGGGTTTTTTTTTTTTTCCTAATACAAAGTTTTGCTTTAGGAAAATACACCACAGTGGAGAAGACATTAGCTTGGGAGCTCATCAGGATCAAGTCCCAAGCCTTGATAATATTTTAGAAACTTTTTTCAAATTAATTAGTCACCCAGATTTTCATCTCTTCATCTGCAACACAAAGATAATAAGTATCTCATGGAGTTTTTTTTCGGAGAATTCAACAGATATAAAGTTATGTAAACATCACAGGACTACTTACATAGGTTGTGGAAAATGAATTAAAAGATCAGTTTAGTACAAAAAAATGAAATTTATGTACAGCTTCTCATCGTATGTATTTTCTGTGACGTTCTGGAGCCCTCCACTCCAAATGTGCGTGTGTGCACATGTGAGTATGTGTGTAGGTGCGTTCTACACTTTGGATATTCAGATATGACTCCTCCTATAATGGAATCTACCAATGGAGTACTAATCATAACACAAACACTAGAAATCGGTGCGTGGGTAGATATTATGGAAATGAGGACGTCACGGAGTTTTGCAGCGCTAAGAAATCACTTATTATCGAAGTTATTGTTTTACAGATGAGGAAGCTGAGATCCAACGGAATTATCTTTATCTGCTGGATAAAGGCACACTGGGACCAAGAGTTCAGAGGTACCAATGCCCCATCTTCCACTTACAAGAGAGAGACATGGGAGAAGTTAGTTTCTATGAGATTAAAAAGAAAGGTTTATAGCTAGCTCATTTTAAACAACTGTATCACCAGCTATTTCAAGAATTTTACAGCATATTTTCACATTGCATTCTTGGAACCTGTGGTAACCAGAATATCAAAGGGAAAAAATGCCACGGACTCTGAGATATTTAAAAAAAAGTGAAGCAATAGGAGTCCAATTTTACACCGTTTCGATATGTAACTACTTATCAGGAACATATGCATAACAGTAAATGACAAATGTAGGGACAACCTTTCATTAAGTTGAAATTTCTATGGTGCATGAAAGATTTTCCTCAATCCATAAATCGTGGATTATTTACGAGAAAGAACTGCCGGTATTACTGATAGTGCAGTCATGATTAATGTAAGTCATGTCAATATTTTGCCAATTAACAACCTCTTCCTCACAGACTGCAATATAATCCTAATACTCATAATAATATATCTAAAGAATTCAATAAAGGAAAAGTTAAAATCCTGCTTTCTAAAATAAAGTGAAACAAAAAGAAAAGAAAAACAAGTGGCAGTAACTCATGACAGAAATTACTTCATTAACATAATTTTATGGATAAATTTGTATGCTGTCATACTGTTTCCACCTCCTCTCCCAGAAGTGCAGCCCTTATGCATCAGCATTGCCACTAGGTGGCAATATAAGCTCAGTGATGATGGCAGATAGCTACAATTCACTTAAAAAAATCAATGAAAAGACATTCCTTAGACTTTATGAAACATATAATTGGCCCAAATCGTAAACAATCTTATTTTATATTTATGCATAAAATTTTCGATTTTTTCTAAATTAATCTATTTTTCTTAAAAATTCCCTAAGTAGCTGAAATCTCTGAGTCAAACTAGAGATCAGGATTAGGACAAAGACTGGGTTGCGAACCAAAAAAAGAAAGGATGAATAACACAGCCCTGTCAGGATTGAGGGTCTGTGAAACACAGTGACAAATCCCAAACCAATTACAGAAATATGTGCACACAGAAACTAGCCAACCAGGTAGGTTATTAAGTAAAATACACCTTAAAAATACCACATATAAATCAAACTGCTGAAGCTAATACGAAACACATTATACATTTAGAGATAGTTCTAGTTGGCCACGCTACACTAACCACCACCAGACTAAAACTATGGGGTTTCCCCTAAATGTTTATCAACTGCAAAGATATTTAGATAGGAAGCTATGTGGTTTGTCACAGTGCTTTAGTGAAATCTCATCTTCTACACTTGGTGGTTCATTCACAATCCTGCTACTGCACTAAATACACACATTAACCAGAAGAGAAACCTGAATCTTAGTTGAGAGGGGAAACGAGAGCCCAATTTGCTGACCTGTCGAATGCGTGGCTTGAAAGCCTTTTCTTTGAACAGATGCGTCAGAAACAAACCTAACAAACATTTTATTTCCGGTAGCCACGAGGGGATCTGGTATCCTGTTGCCACACAGTCGTCCAAGAATTGGCGATTTTTCTGTTTCTCCATCGAATACTTCCAAGTGATCATAAGCACATTCTTGATGCTGTTCAATCTCAAATTCACTAAAAGCCTATTAAAAAATAAAGAGGCATTTTAAAAACCGCAACTCTCTCAAAAGGAGTTCTTGTATATAAGGCAAAAAATACATGCTAATAAGATAGAATGAGTGTACCCAAATGATTTAATCCACATTGCACAGTTTTGAAAGGGGTGTAGGAATCAACAGCTTAATCTTTGGGGAAAATGTAACGAGGAAGACAATGTACCAGTTTCAGGTTTTTTCAGGGATTCTACTATTTGGCCATTGCTACTAATTCTATGATTGCAATTACTTTAATTTAATTTAAACATTATACTAAAAGTGGTATTTTCAATTGAATCCAACTGATTCATCAGCAAATTTCACAGAATCATTTTTAAAGATTGATTTATCCTGGTTTTGATGATCATAAATGACTGGCCATCATCTTACTTTTGAGTTCTTAAACCCAGAAGAAAACCCAAAAAAGTAATAATTATACTTACACAAAATTTAAATGCAATAAATCTGTATATAATACTTAAGACTAAAAGGAATTTTCATTATATATTTCTTTAATTCACTCTTGCAAAGCCTATTACTAGAAAATACTAACATGACTCTGAGGTGGAATATTTTTAATTTAACTTTCAAACACACAGAAACACTTATTTTCCTACTTGACATCTTGGAAAGTTTGGTAGGCTTCGCTATTAGTTGTGTCATTGAAGAAATCATTGCAAGTTTCCTGTGTACTCATTTCTGTGTGTGTGTCTTGGCAGATTTAAAATGAAAATCATGAAACGTGTAACATATTAAAGGTCACAAAGGACACTTTAATTGAAATGGACTGAAATTGCCAAACTGTTACTAATTCCAGGAATTACAGGATACTTGGCATTGCCCTTTAAGGCTCTTTCCTTTCCCCAGGAAACCATCACACACTGAAGAAGTAAACCATCCCCCCTCCTTGCATTTCTAGAGCAAAGCTAAAATTTAGAAAGTAAACGTGAAGACACATGAACCTGCCTCAAACTTCATTAAATTTGCTACAATCCCTGCAGCATAACACATTTGCTTATAAACGTTTGGCATATATGATTTTTGACGTAATTTTGTAAAGTTACCGCAATTTAATTGAAGATATGCACAAAACACAGCTAAGAATGGTTTTCTCCCAATTATCTTTTCCATACCACACCACGTCACCTACTATCATTTATTTTGGAGGAGTAGCGAGGAAATGAAAGACGCAATTTATATAAAGTAGGGAGTAAGAGAAGGAAATGAAGTTGTTGGGAAGAGTCTCTCTTGACTCACTGCAATGCACCCTACTTAAAAACTATCAATGAAAATGGTGTCGATAGTATTAGAACATTATTTGCTGTAATCATCATGGGTACTTTGAAAGCTCATTTTCTGCAATCAAAGACAATGAGCGGTGCGAAAAAAGCTTGACAACCAGGTGATTGGCCTCATGGTTAAGACACCTGTGTGTCCCATATGTCCAACGTGGAAATATCTGGATTCAATACCAAGTTTTGCCTCCTGATTCCAGCTTCCTGCAAATGTGCAGCCTGGGAGGCAGAAGTGATGACTCAAGTAGTTGGGTTCCTGCCAGCCACCTAGGAAACCTGGACTGAGTTACTGGCTTCAGCTTCAGCCCAGCCCAGCAGCAGCCACCACAGGCAATTCTGGAGTGACACAGCAGATGGGAGCTTCCCCATCCCACCCTACCCATTCCCTCCCTCCCTCCCTCCCTCTCAAGTTGAAAGCATGCAAGAATGAAACAGATTGGACATCACAAATAGGATCTCACTGCAAATAAAAATCCAGTGATGGGAAATCCAGTGATGAAACCTGCGTTAGCTGAGTTTTCCTTGAAGGTTAGGACTTGCTGGTCTCTGCAACCCAACGGCAGGGCAGAGTAGGGCAGACTCAGCCCAGGAACGTGGAAGATCTGGAGCAGCTGTCTGGATAAATCTACTGATTCCTTTATCTAACCACCTGTCTCACCTTTATGGCCAACTTCATACAGGAGGCCAAATAAAACTGATTATTCTGCCCCTGCTGAGGTGTTTCTGAGCCAGCCCCTGTTAACATTGTGCACATGTGTCCACCCTTAATATCATTTTGTAACTGACCAAAACCTACACTAAGCATAAAGAGTTCTTTATTAAATATGAAAGCATACTTCTGAATCAGAAAAATGGTGTTTTCTTCAAAGTAAATAAAAACAGGCAAACAATAATACCTGAAAATCATTGCACGCCAATGAACTATCTCTTCTTACTGGGGTTCACAGTCATTGACCTTAAATATGACCATCAGAGAAACCCACTGTGTGGAAGAGAACCCTGAAGGAAAAAGGGGGGTACAGGCATTCAACAGGATATGCTTCAGGCAGTTGCTAAAGTGGAGTCACATTTTACAGTCCACACATTCGTAGGTCCATTCCAAATGGAGTGAACGAGATAACCAAGTGACTAGTTCACTGCTTAGTGAAATGCAGGATGCCTGAAGTAATCATTACATCCGTTTAGCCCAACAGGGCAGCGCCACGAGAAGTGGCATGGAGCTGGTGGGCTAGGGCCACGCTGACACCTGCTCTGGAGCCAGCTATCTCCAGTATTTTTTTTTTTTTTTGGTTACATTACTAACAGGATCAGACTGAGACTGCAAGAGTCAAATTGGTCAAAGGATTCACAGCTGACATATCTTCAAGTGATGCAAACAATGCTTATGCATTAAGGTATCCATGAATGTTCCTCGTGGAATAGGCAACGGCTTGTTAGGTCACCTGCAGACATGGGCTGGTGCCGTTCCAGAAACCAGCCTGACCTAACGGCCTCACTGTGGGCATCCAAAGGCACGACTCCTTCCCATGCTATACTCTCCTCAGTCGGGCCCTAGGAGCACAGAGATACCCACCAAGAAAGAACTCCACATATACTCCCTTCACATCAGTAAACAGTGTTCCTATGCCACGGAAAGCTATCAGAGAAGACTATGGATAACTGAAATAACAAAATATTGTTTTAGAATTTACAGTGATAGTGTGATATATGATTTATTATTTTATTCCATGACACAAGCCAAGTCATGACCCTCTGCATCTCAGTGGTTTAGAATGTGAAAATACGCAACCATCAGGAACCAAGGCCACAGGAATGTTCCCAGAAGACACTTAGAGTCCCCAAAAGTCCTCTGAACTCACAGTGGGGACAGGGCAGCTGGCAAAGCTGATATTATAGAGGTGGCTTCCACTAAAACACTATACTAGTTTTTGGAACTTAAGTATTTATTGTTATTATCTATCTATCATTTATCTATCTATCTAAAAGGCACAGAGAGAGAGAGAGAGAGAGAGAGAGAGAATCATTTGTTTGTCCACTTCTCAATTGGGCTGGAACCACTGGGCCTGGGCTAGGTTGAAGTCACAAGCTTTGAACTCCATCCAGGTCTCCCACATGGATGGCAATGACCCAATCAATCGGACCATTAGCTGGATGGGAAGTGGAGCACTAGAGACTTGAACCAGTGCTCATGTGGGTGTTAAGAGTCACAGGCAACAGTTCAACCTGCTGTACAACTCTGGTCCCTGAAGCATTTTCCTTAAGTATTTCAGATAAACTCTGTAAGCATCTCAGTATTTTTAGGGTTATTAATCTAGGCTCTATGAAGGCCAACAAAAGAGTACATGCCATATGCTGTAGTCAGAAATCCTAATGTATTTCCCATAAGCAAACTAAGAGATTGGGACTCCAGTTCAAAAGAAATAAAATTGAACTGTAATTACAGACTGGAAATAATAACTGGATATTTCCAGAACACCCAAGCGAGCTAATCTACCTGGCTGGCCCCAGGCCAGGCTTCCATATGCTGACCTTCGTGGAAGCGTTTGTAGAGGTTCTCTTATTGAAAATACAGGCTTTGGCTAGAAGATGAATCCCTGAAGAGTAGCTACACGTATTCACAAAGAACAGGCTAATAAAACGATTGCACTTAACACGGAAATAAACTTTAGCTGGGGTGAGAACCAAGAGAAGTCAAGAGCCTGATTCTATCTGAGCAGCTACAAGATAAACTTTACAGCATATAGGCCTGGCAATATTTCACCTTTTCCTGTTTTCAGTAAGCACTGTCATTTGGTTCCCAACAAGATACTGGAAGGATTAGAGGCCTCAGGGTGAAAAATGGCAGAGTGGCATACAAACTCATCTTCTGATTAAAAAAAAAAAAAGCCCTTTGTTGTCCATGAGCCCCGTGTGTGGTCAAATATAGTTTTTATGGATATGTGGTAGAGAATGACAACGGTTGCAGATACTTCTTTTCTAAATATCCTATATAGAAACCTATAAATTGAAACTATGTAACTTAGCAAACCTAACGATGTGATAAATCAAATACAAATGAAATAAGCGCATTAGTCTATTGAGTATGTTCCTATGTCAAAAACTTTGGTTTGTTTTTTAAGAAAGATTTATTCATTCATTTGAAAGGCAGAGTGTCAGAAACAGAGGAGAGAGGGGGACAGAGAGAGGGGAAGAGAGAGAGAGAGAGAGAGAGAGAGAGAGAGAGAGATCTTCCATTTGCTGATTCAATCCTTAAATGGTTGCTATGGCTGGGATTGGGCCAGGCCAAAGCCAAGAGCCCAGACCACCACCTGGTCTCCTATGTGGGTGGCAGGGGCCTAAGCACTTGAGCTATCATCTGCTTTCCCAGTTGCACCAGCAGAAAGCTAGACAGGAAACAGCTGCTGGGACTGGAAACAGCACCCAGATAAAGGCTGTAGACATTGCAACATTGCAAGCGGCAGCTTAACCTGCCGCACCACAATGCTGACCTGTTTTGTTTATTTTTAATGAACATTAATTCCAACTATAAAACACATATCAAAAATGTTACTGATCAGCTGAGGCTCTTAGAACCAAGAGAAGAAGAAAGCAGAACAGAAGAACCTTGTCCTTATTCCTGCAGGACTTCATACCTTCTCTGGCGAAGACATTTTCTCTAATCATCTTTGGATTAAGTTTTCTGTACTATCATCA